GGGATCTGAAGGCATTGTGACGATCCAGGCACATGTCTTCACTTCCTCTCCCCCTTCAAGAAAGGTGAATTGTCAACATCACAGACATGAGTGTATATTGGTCCTACACTCCCAATCTTGCTCACAAATTCACGCCAATTAGACGATACATCTGCATCATCTTTCTCGAAGTTAAATTTACCATTGGCACCAATTATCCCATTCAAAATACATGATTATAAAGGTGAATCAAACTGCAGACTCGTAGGGTTGTTGCAAATACCATGCTGCCTCACAACACCGAAGAGATTCTCAAGTGGATCTTGGTTGCAATGTCGAGTTCCCAAGTCTCTGAGCATTCCCCACAATGATGAAACAGCGTTGATATTTCGACACCATGCCTCCTTCACCTTAGTGCGAATAGACTTGCCATCTGAATCAACAAACTGTCATGAATCCAGTTTCCTTTACATACTCTGCCAAAATTCTAAATGCTGAGATGTGTTACTCAGTGGTCTTCTATAAAAGTGAGTGTCATCCAATTTCAAATCGTTAAAAGAATCGAAGAGACAAGTGATATCATTAATAAATTCAGCCAAATACTTGGCCCCTTCCACACCACATCTATATAAAGCATTAGCAACAGTTACACTCAAACCCTGAGCAGCTAACTTCACTTTCATTTTCTTTTTTGGATAAATATGTTCATTTGTGATATTCCCCATGTTCTTATTAATTTCTTTTTTCAATTCAAAAAGGTCCACTAAAAATTGCCAGCTACTTTCTTTAACTTCTCCACTATCTGTTTTAAAAATAATTTTGTTGTCAAAAGAGCATTTCTTGTTGCTTTGAGAACATGAGGAGGATTAGCAATTACTACAATTTTACAATTATTAATTTTAAAAAATGGTCTATCCCAATTGCATGTTTTTAATACAAAAGTTTTCAAGCAGCAAATGTTAGTTGGTGCTCGGTCACTCACAATTGCCACAATATTAAAACCAATTCTTTTCTAAATCTGTGGTCGAAATTGTATCATGAGACACATTCATAGTACACTACAGGTTGCTTCCAATTGTCAATGAGACCACGAACCATAAAAACCAAAGCATGGTCTGCGAATTTGCAGGATTTTCGGGTACGAGAAAGGTCTGAACCCTCAACACAAAAAAATTGCAAAGATTGTGAACAAACTAACGTATAATTTACCCATAAAAATTTAGTGGCACAATTACACGACAAAAAAAACACTCTTTTACAGAGAATAAATAGAACACAAATAGAAACTTTTCAATACACAAATTCTAACTTGCCTCAAAATTACAAAAACTGTACAACAAATAAGCTATTTTAGTGAACTGTCGCGTTGCGGCGATAATTTTGTTCTAACGAAACTGCTGTGTTACAAATGCACGTGTCTCACCGACGCTGCGATGCTCGCTGCCAGTAACCTCGCCGATTCAAGGTTGTGGGTGCTCCAACGTTTCGCTGAAATCTCCACTTGCTGCGTCGGCCGTTCGAAGTCCCACGCTGAACCCAGAACCTTCGCACCTACACGCCCTGCCTTCCATCCAAGACCATACCTTTCGCACGTACGCTTGAGCCTTCTTGGAGATGCCTTCTTCACACGCCTCGTTGTATAAATTAATTCGCACTTCCAGTTTATCGAATTTGCTGCGCCCTTTTTGTTTGCGTACGCGGCCTAACTACTACACTTTTGGCTTGTGCAGTAATAAGGAGCAATATGACTGCACTGGATTAATTCAGAGTCCTTCGGCGCGAATCTAGGCAATATTAGTATTACTGCTGACTCCAAAATTTACACCACTTTCTATCACTTCGGTAGTCTAAGTCTTATCTAGCTCCACGTATTTAAATAAACTCCTACTCTATCTCGAGAAGACCTTGCTGACCGGCCAATGCGATCGTTGTCGCTGCAGGAATATCAGAGATGCGTTCCCCGTCGTTGCTGGAATATCAAGGAGAGATACACACACACACACACACACACACACACACACACACACACACACACACACACACATACACGAGGTCGTTATTTTACGTTCTTGCGGTCTACTCTCCTGGGGGAGCTCTACCGCGGTGTGAATTATTCCTTTCCTGGCTATTTATTTAGTATATCTCTATCGGTTATCCGATGAGTAATAGTTTATTGCTTTATTTCCGCTCGTGTGCTTTGGTGCACTTTGTTGTGTTCTAGTTGTTTTCTTGCGTTCGTTCTCTCAAAGTGGTGATTTGGCGTGTCATTCCCGTTTCGCACTCGCTGATCGTCTCTTTATTTTTCAGTTTATACAGTTTTTGTTATATTATAATATTTACAGAATTTACAGAATTATATACATTATATGTTTAACTTACTACTAACTTTCGAACTATCCTAATTGAACTATGCTTAAGACCTAAAAAATTACAGAAATTTACAAAATTTGTTCAAGGTTGTTAGTGTGTTAGTTGTTGGTGAGATAGTAGATGATTAGTATGAGTTTATGTGTTAATGATTAGTAGTAGTGTAGCAGGTTTGGCAAATAGAAGATTGGTTTGTTAGTATTTGTTAGTTTTTGTAAGAATTTGTTAGTGGTTTCTTTGTAGCGGCATGGGGTGTATGGTGTTTTTGGTCGTTTGGATGTTGGAGGTGTGTTTTCGGCATCGCTTTGGTCTTTAATGCACTCTGAGAATGTGTGAATTATGATTTTTATATTGGGGTGTAGTTGATAGATTTAGAACTTGTGTGTCTGTTGATATGTGTTGGGTGTTGTGTGTTTAAGTGGGAGTTTATATTTAGAGGTGGTGTTTCAAGGTGGTTTCAAAAAGATGAAATCTGAAGGCAGTTTTTTCTTTTTGTGTTGTGAAGGCTTCGTATAGTATTGTAAGTAGGGCTGGATGAGAGGGTGAGTGTCAATGTTAGTGAAATGTCCTAAATTCTTTCCGTGGCGAGCTCGTGTATTGTGGTTGTAATTGTTTTGATGTTTCTGGTCGTGAATTCGTCAGCGAGGATAGAGCCGGGGGGTGGGTGAAAAGCTAGTCGAATAAAGTAATTTTCAGTTCGTGTCAGGTAATTTAGCGATGTTTCGGGAGCTGTGGCCCATGTCTCGCAAGCGTATAAGCCCGCGCTGCGTATGCATGCCAGATATAAGTGGAGTTTTATTTTTTCTTTAAGGGTCGGCTCTTGAAGAGGGGAAGAAGTGATGAGATACGTCGAGTCATGTTGTTACGTGCGTTAGATATGTGCGTCTTCCAGGTCAGTCTTCGGTCAAATGTAACTCCCAGGTATTTGATGTTGTCCCGCCACGGAATGGTGTAACCGTTTACGCGGATGGGAGCGACAGAATGAGTGTTATGTGTGAGTTTATGAGAAAAAATTATAGCTTGGCATTTCTGCGCGTTCTGTGTGAGGCCATTTTCCGCACTCCACTTTTTGAGCGTTTGCGGCACGTTGTAGGCGCTTTACCGCGATGTTTATTTTGCTGTCTTTGACCGTGAACGCTATGTCATCCGCATAGATGAAACCTTGCAAGCAGAGAATATCAAGGCAAGAAGAGTGGTGGCCCTACGAGGAAGTTGCTTTAGCATTGCTGCAGAAAGCTTGTCGGGTCCGCCTGATCGATTTGTGTTGATATTTGACAGTAGGTCGCTTACCTCATCCGTTTCAATTTTCCAGTCAGGCGGTATATCTGTGAGGGGCGTAGGTGTGATGGGGATTTCGGCGGCGGTGGCAGGAATATTAAGTGAGATGGGGGTGGCGTGAAGCGCTCTTCAAGCAAGGTGGCGAAGATTTCTGATTTAATTGCCGGATCGTAAGTGGGTAGAATGTTGTTTGGGTGATTGAGCGCTGTGGTGGCAGGCTGTGGATTGCGTAGCACCCATTGCAATTTCGACAGATCGCTAGCATTGTTTATTTGGCTATTTTCGTCGTACTTTTACCACATCGCATTCTTGTGCTCCCGCAGAAGCCTGGAGGTTTTCCGCCGAATAGTCTGGTACGCTGCTTTTGCATCAGGGTCATGCGTTCGCTGGTAAATTTGCTGGGCTTTGCGGCGTTCTTGGATTAGGCGAATCAGCTCGACGGGTGTTTGGGATGTGGGATGGTGAGATTCTAGTCGTTTACAGTTTTCATCGATAGCAGTTTTTATCTGGTAATTTAGGTGTTCAATTGCTCTGTCAATTTTAGTCGGATTATCTAAGTCTGGGTTACGTAGGAGTTTGTTGTTAAGTTTTGTCTTGAAATTTGTCCAGTTTGTTTCGTAGGTTGTTTTTGTCGGAGTGGGAGATGGAAATTGGTCTCTATGGAAGGTAAAGAGGATAGCGAGGTGGTCGTCCGAGGTCATGGAGGGGCTTTGGGGTTGTGATTTGGAGTGCAGGAGAATGTAGTACAATGTCAAGAATGTCGCCTTTAATCTGTCTGGTAAACATGTCAGTTCGTATGTGAGTGATGGAAGAAGGAGGGGAAATGACGAGCCGATCACTTCTATTTAAATATGGAAGCAGGCGCTCTCCCACCGAATTCCGCACACGGCAGCCCCAGTCTGTGTGCTTGGCGTTCAAGTCACCTGCTATAATAATATTCTCCCCAAGCGTTAGCAGCGCGTCAAGGTCGGCTTCCTCGAGTTGAATCTGAGGCCGCTTGTACCCAGATACAACAGTGATGGCTGCGTGCGGCGTTCCGATTTCAACCGATGTTGCCTCTATAGCGGCGAGAGGCGTATTTACCAGGAGCGTATGAGGAATAGTGCGTCTTCCTGCAGTTAATGTGCCACCGCCGCGATGGGGGCCTGAACGATTTTGCTTGTAAATATGAACATTTGGAAGAGTGAAGTTATCGCTTGATGACAGGATTCTTGAATAAGGAATATATCTGGGGAATAGTCTTTAATAAATTGAATAATTGCGAGTTTCTTTTTGTTCAGGCCCCCGTTGGCGTTCCATGAAACAATTTTGAAAAGATGAGATCGAAAATTATGTGAACCGTTGTTCATGGGAACGCTGTAGAGAGGAGGGGGATAATGGCTATTGCTTTAGATAGCAAGTTTCCTGGACCTTTGAGGATGGTAATTGCATCTTTCGCGAGAGTGATGAAGGCTCGCAGGTCTACTCCCTGCAGAAGATGCAGTAAATCGCCCAATTCGCCGAAGCCTGAGAGAGAAAGAGGCGTGGAGGGTGACTGGGCGATGATTGGTCGCCCAGCTGCCGCATCAGCAAATTCGGTACCAGCGGTGGTGGGGGTTTCGGTGGCCAATCCTGGGAGTGCAGGAAAATGTTCCTCAGATCGGACCTCTAAGGGACGTTCGACCGGCTGACCAACCACTGCAACGCGGGAGGGAGCAAGAGAGTTGATCCTCGTTGCCACTTGTGCGGCTGCTCGCGTCTGGCGTGCTACGCCAAGCTGACATGCTCTCGCTTCTTTATACGTCAGCAGGGTGGGAAGCTCTCCACTGATTTCCACCGAAGTTAGCGCACCTCGGATTTTCCGGCTTAGTGCAATTTTCTAGGGAGCGAGCGCCGGCGCAGTAGAGACATACTGCGTTCCTGCGGCATCCGTTATGAGAGCGACCCCATAGTTGACATCTTTTGCAGTGGGACACACGGTCCCTACATCGATATTCCTCCCATCTGACAATTTGATTTAATATCGTAGAAATGGTTTTAATTTGAGAAATTTGGCGTGGTTAATTTCGATGATGTATAGGCATAAAGAAATGCTCCTGTTTCAGTATAGCAGGCGCGTTTCATTTCACTTAGATGGTGAACTTTGATACCTTGAGAGGTGAGGTCAGAAGTAATTGCAGCTAGATCTTCGCTGTCCCGGAGGCCACGGATGACAAGTCTGTGACGTCTCTCTTCAGTCGCACGACGGAAAAAGAACTGCGCATGTTGCGAGTAGGATTGCATGCGAGTCAGTTCTGAGACGATTTTGTTGTGATCTTTTACACACCCTGGTTTGAGGGTGCCAACATTTTGTGAGGGGATTCCTTTTAGGGGCATTGTGAGGTGGGGCGGAGGGCGCTCATGAGAGCGGTGATGTCGATGGGTTGCTCAATAACTATTTCCCCGACCGATTCACGTGAGCATGGGGCAGAAGCACAAGGGGCGGCCGCTGAAGGCTGAGTACGATTTGCCGTGTTTACTGCAGGCGTTTGTTGTTGAGCGGTAATATCGCGGAGTGTTAGCACCTGGTACCTGTTGGGTACGCTTGGTAACGCTTGGGTTTGGGGCTGTTCACACATTTGGGTGGGGCGTTGTCGAAAGATTTTTGTAACGAGTTGCCACGCCTCATCTGTGACGTTGCAGGAGTTGTTGTTACCAGCCTTAGTGGGAGAGTTAAAGATTGGCGAATTACTTTCTTGGGGGCGTGAGTCAGAATTTTGCGAGCATTCCGACATTGGGGAAAGTGCTCGCGTGGTCTCGGCGGAGATCTCAGAAGCGGACATGACGCCTGACTGGTTTGTTTCAGAGTGTGTGTCAGAGTGTGGAGAGCGAGGGCTGCTGGGGCTCTCAGGTGCGTGCACCGCAGGAGCGGTGGAGCATTCTGGCGACTTACCGTCCGTAGGTGTGTCCGTATTAGTCGTAGGTGGAGCTGATGTTAACAAAAAAGAGATACTATGTTGGGGAGGGGTGGCAGGTGCAGGAGTGTTAATGGTTGTTAGTTTTCTTTTCTACAAATGCAAAGGATACTTTAGGTTTTTTAATGAAGCACGAATGTGCTAGGGAGCCGTCTAAGTATTTGCATGCACGGCAGTAGTTTTTGTTTTTCTCTTTAGTAACTGGCCGTCCAATTTTTGGCATTCAGTTTTATACAGTTAATTCTAGTCTATGTTAGATTTAGGAAATTTGACAATGTTAGTTTAATTTGTTAAAATATTGTTAATTTGATTAGTTAATTTTGATGTATTTGATTACAAATTATATGTTTACTCTGATAACAATTAGAAAAACTAATTTGAATTTTAAACTTGAATTTGATTAGACTGTCTGAAATTTGTATTTTAAATTACAATTTTGAAATGACTTATTAGTAAATGAAATTATAAATTTTAACGAGATAAATTAATATTTGCCGAAGTAGTTTCTGAGTTATAACTGAGTTATAGATGACTAATAACTCGATAACTTGATGACAGTTCTTTAATGTTAATTTAGAGTTAATCTTTTGGGTGTAAGGGAGCCGTGCTAGACCTTACCCGACCTACTTGGTATCCGGTTACTCTCGTAACTGCTAACACGAAGAACCAGTTTGAGTTCTTGAACCGGTCAGCTTTTCTTCGACTCCTACTTTGCGTAGAGGGAGCCTTGCTCAACCTCTACACTTGATTTAAGCGTTATTCTGATGGTGCAGAGGGAGCCAAGCCCAACCTCTGACCACACACGTCGCTAGTGACGCTAGTGACGCTCGACCTCAACGCACTCCAAATTACAAAAACCACAGCACTAGTGACGCTGAGGGAGCCGAGCTCGACCTCAACTCACAGATTATTACACCTCGAGATGCAGAAGGAGCAGAGCGCGGCCTTAACGCGCGACAAAAACAAAACTATGGATGTTGTGGTGGGGGCGATTTTGAGATAAGAGAGAGCTCCCGAAGCGTGTTACCGTATTTATGGCCCGACACCTGGGGAAAGTTCAGGAGTGGGGTTGCTTCTCCTCTTTCAACTCTCCGCGTAAAAAACGTTACTCGCTAGTTCGAGCGCTCTAGTACGGTCAACGGATAACAGGTTGCGCGTTAAGACCCTACTCCGCCGCGAGTAGCCGGCTGGTTCCAAAACTACGGGGCGTAAGGTTGCACCAATTCCCCATACGTCCACAATAAATATAATATATATATATAAATATATATATATAATATGTATATACCCACTCACAATATTCTAAAACGCCAACCTCGTCAACGTCAGTCCGAATGCTCAGTTCGAGCTTTGAAATCTCAGGAGGCAGGATCTTTGGAGTATGATTATATTCTCCAAGACATATAATTAGGTAAACAAATACAAAGAACAAATGGCAAAGAACACAATAATATATAATATACAGGATCATCGCTTTTCAACACTTTGAAAAATTTTCACACTTCTTCTACGTTAAACTGACTATTTATCCCTACTTCTTGGCCATCACCGTTTGAAAAGACACAAAATGATAATTTTACTTTTATCAGTAATTACAAAACCACATTGAAAATATTTCTGTTTTAACACTATTCCTTTGGCTCAAAAGGAACCAGCAAAAAATTACCAACATGACTTATAATGACCAAAATGACTATACAATTATTTACAATTAATCCCCCTGGGAATATTACAAGTAAATGAAAATGTATTACACGGCTATTTACAAAACAATACTCGAGAACATAAAACACAAATGAAAATGTATTACACTGGCTTACTAGGTTCCCCTTTCCCCGGTATTTGGCGTGATATAGTTCGTAACAAAGTCTAAGTTATTATGTAAATTTTGAATTCAGTTCTTCTGTTGCTGCTCTCGCGCTTGCGGTTCCGCCAGCTCTAGACAGCCGTTACAAAATTTGTTACCTTAGCAATGGCGCTCGCAGTCGCAGCTTGCGCCAACCTTGCCTCCCCTTTGACGCGCCTGACCTTGCTCCAGATTCCGGCCGCACCGTTGCTCCTCTTCTGTCCAGATGTCCATGAAGTCGTACGAACACGTTTTCTTCGTTTTCCTGAACGACTGTTTCAGAATACATTAATGCCATTTTAATTGATTTATGAGTACCTGGGTTTGAATTTTCTCTCATCACCCCAAAAGATCCCACTGCACTGAGAGGTATTATAAAGATCGTAATAGCATGCGTTCGTAAGCTTCCGCGGCCGGAGTCAATACATTCGTAGCTATCCGGAATGAGCCGCGTCTCGGTCAATTGTGCTGACGTTTCGGTTATCTTGCTGTGATATTCTTCAGAGCTATTCTGCAGCCAAGATTTTTCAGTTTTCCCCCTCCAGTTACAGAGACGGGAATTTATTTGTCTTTTGGAGTACATTATGTATAACTGCAGCCGATGTGCTTGTTCAGTTAGGGAAGGCTTTATTGCTTACATACAAACTAAAGCAATCTTATAACTATAACTATATACATTACCACTTTGGGGTTTGTTAGTTTTTAGACTTGTTTTTTAATTATTCAATTGGGAGTTATTGAAATTGTTATATTTTCTTCTTTATATTTACGCCAAGAGGCTTTTTATTTATGCTAAGAGCTGCCAAGAGGTTGGCGTGCTTCATTTTATAGAAAGGGCGCATGGGCCGACTGGTCCCACGGAATCGGCGACCAAAAGGAGGAGGGACGGTGTCCCGTGATTGACGGAGAAGGAAATGGGCGATGGCGGGTGACCAGATGAGGTGGGGGAGGGGAATGCGGCGGAAAGGGTAGATAATAGAAAACTGAACAGGCTAGACACATGCAAGATTCATCTGTGGGGAGGGGAAGGGTGGAAATACCGAAAAAGAACGTCCCAAAGGGTGGCTACGTCATTGGCCGTCCGCGGGGGGGGGGTGTCTCCGCGGGGCGGGGCCGAATTGGCGGGGGGTAACGGCCCGTCTCCAGGTGTTGCTAAGACGGAGCCCATCATCTCTATTGAGGTTTGCGGGCCGAGTAGAGATTTCCAAACCCTCTTTGATCAAACGAGGCCATCACCAGTCTTCTGTTGTTATAGTGCGGGTTTCGTGGTATTTGACGAGGTAACCCGTTTACGCGGCGTGTTGTGCCAATTCCGATTTGTGTTTATGTTAAAGCCGGTCATGTCGCATGTGTTTCTGAATACGCTCATCTACCGTGCGCCCGGTTTGTCCGATGTAAACTAGACCACAGCTGCACGGGGTTTCATAGACGCCGGCATCTTGAAGAGGGTCCAGACGATCCTTTACCTGTATCTGGCTCCTCCCGATCTTGTTGCGAGTGTGAAACACGGGGCGGGTATCGGCACTGCGCAGCAATCTACCGATCCTGTCCGTGACCTCTTTGATGTAAGGCAATCGGGATGCCTTGCGGGGCGAGTATGAAGATTTGTTGCGTGGATTCAGACGATAGAGTGGAGCCTCGA